TGTTGTGCTATAGGGGACACACTATTGACATGGCTGTTGTGCTATAGGGGACACACTATGGATAGGGGTGTTGTGCTATAGGGGACACACTATTGACATGGCTGTTGTGCTATAGGGGGCACACTATAGATATGGCTGTTGTGCTATAGGGGGCACACTATGGATAGGGGTGTTGTGCTATAGGGGACACACTATTGACATGGCTGTTGTGCTATAGGGGACACACTATTGATATGGCTGTTGTGCTATAGGGGGCACACTATGGATAGGGGTGTTGTGCTATAGGGGACACACTATTGACATGGCTGTTGTGGTATAGGGGGCACACTATAGACAGGAGTGTTGTGCTATTGGGGGCACACTGTGGACAGGGCTGTTGTGCTAACTATAAGGGGCACACCAAGGATATGGGTGTTGTGCTATAGGGGCAGAATATTGACAGGGTACACATGGGATGTTGCGATATAATTGGTAGAATTTGACAGGGTAGACATGGGATGTTGTGATACAGGGGGCACAATAAGGACAGGGTGCAACCTGGTGCTTTGCGCTACAGGCGGAACCCTATGGACAGGGGTGTTGTGCTATAGGGGGGCAGACTTTGGATAGGATGACCAGGGGCGCTGTGCTTTATTTAAGGGTAACACTTTGACGGGGCTCACCATAGTAAGTGAATAAAGGAAAACGCTTTTGTTGGGGTGAAACGCTTTGTAACAGAACTGGACAGAAAATTTGGTTCGTACAATAGTGTGGCACAATATGAACATCAGTCCTATTCCTATATGACATGTGTATTTGAGGATAAACAAGGAAAGCTTGCCACATAAATTATTCCAAAAAAAAAACCAACAAAAAAAACAACAGAACAGCAACACGTTCTATAAAATACCGTTGATGAGGACCGGAAAGGAAAATAAGTTAAAGAGCGTCTCACCAAAACGATTCAATAAAACAAAAGTAGGGGAATGGTGCGATACGTGGCCGGTATTCTTGCCGAGCTACAGATCGATGGTGGGATATTTGATAGCTTTCATGTCCGATCACTTTGTTAATTTGTTTACCGGGACACTAATTCCATCAACACCGGCTGCGGTATTGGGTATTCCCCTCATGTTTGACTGGGTCATGGTGTTACGGACCTTTCCACTCCCCCCCCCCCTTTCCCCAACCTCACAGCATTGCAACTATCCAGTCTTGCCACATCAAATGAGAGACAACTACCATGCTTTTTTTTAAAAAAGGGGGGGACGGACTGCGACTGGAAAGTGGAGCTGTTGTTCTTGGTGAATCAGTACTGGACGTGTTTTAGCTCAAGTTTGTCATATTACTAATGTCATTGTGATTTGGGGGGGGGGGGGTGAATTCGCAATGCCACCATTATAAAAAAATGTGTACAACACTATCGTTAAATAATATATATATATATTAATAAATTCTAATTTTAATAACCTTTAAAATAAAGTAAGTGAAATAAAATGGAATCTATTAATTTTCGCTACGGTCAATAAGTATGTTGATCCGAATATGATAATATGTAAGGCAGATCTCGACAGCCTTAGATGGCAAATAACATATTGTTCCAAAAATAGTCCGCTTCTGATATTAAGCCGCACCACTGCGTCCCGTTTTGTTTTTTTCACAAAATATATTTTAAATCTTTATTTTCATTTATTGATTGTTTGCAACCAGTGTTTATTCCAGTCATCCCTCGGGTCACTGACACCCGGAGCAAGCCGAGCGTCACCTAATACCAGGAGCAAAAAGTATTCAAAAGCAAACATATCATTTTAATAATAAATAAATAAATAAATAAAGCGCAATTGAATAAAGAGCTGTAAGTAAATGATATATTGCATATAATAAAATGAGGCTGTTACTAGTGTTACGCACTGTTATGGTTTCGAAGATCTAATCCATGTTAACATTTGGCTTTTAGAATTAACACTACGTAATAAAGGACTGCGAAAAACAGTATGCAAAGAAAACGGTACCAAAGATAGTGATACTAACAATATTTGATTTAATTCTAAAAACTGTATCAACTTAAAGCAGGTGAAAAAGGTACTCTCCTCAAAAATACAAATATTAATTTACACACCCACACAATTATATGACGTCTCGTATTGCAAAAATCCCTCCATCGCTCTCTCTCTCTCTCTCTGTCCCGCTTTGTCTATCTATGAAACCTGACAGCTTATATATTGGGATTAACCCAGAACGTTCTAGTGCATAAATCTAGAAATCGCGCCCCCTAATGGCATTCTTTAGAACAATTGGTACGCATTCGAGGGTAAACAACCTTTTACGAACCAAGGGAGGGGTGAGTATGGTATGACACAGTACTCTTTGTCAAAGAGATTAACTCAATTCACTTGTGTATTCTAAGAATGATTTATTCTCAACTTCCAAAATTACCAAGCATATTCAAATGTTCATAGTTCTAAATTGATAGCACCATCCAACAGAAATGCACAGATTGCAACATCAACTGGAAAATAGATAACAACACTAGAAAACAGATGATAACGCCATCAATACACATATGATAAAACCATCAATAAAAAAAGATAACATCACCAATAAGCAGATGATAACATCACCAATGAGCAGATGATAACACCACCAATAAACAGATGATAAGATCATCAATAAACAGATGATAACACCACCAATAAACAGATGATGAGATCATCAATAAACAAATGATAACACAACAAATAAACAGATGATATGATCATCAATAAACAGATGATAACACTACAAATAAACAGATGATAACATCACCAATTAGCAGATGTTAACACTACCAATAAACTGATGATAACACCACCAATGAGCAGATGATAACACCACCAATAAACAGATGATAAGATCATCAATAAACAGATGATAACACTATGAATAAACAGATGATAAGAGCATCAATAAACATGATAACAACATTAATAATCAGATGATAACAATACTAATAAAAGGATGATAACAACACATAACAACACAAAAATAAATACATGATAACATCAAACTTTACAGTTCAAATGTTGATAACATTAATTTACAGAAAATCTCCAAGTGTGTGTACTTAGAGTACAAGGTCCACACCATGTATGTTAAATATAGGTTATATAAAAAACTCAACAACTAATTTGAATTTGAAACATAAAATAATATTTATTTATGTAAAATTACTACAAAAATATATCAGCTGTCTAGAGCATGATAGGAAAGCACCGGCATTCATTGGCAGAAAAGGAACGGAGGCACTTGGACTGGCATCCATTTCAAAGTTGCTTCAGATAATGTAAACATTAGAATAATGAAAATCTGGTGTAAGTTATAGACATAATTGTGACATCCACCCCGACGATTGTTTACCAGAATATTATTTAAAACATATTACAATAAGGAGGCTAGGGTTACAAGCAATGTTCCCTTTAAGCTGTGCAGCTATCTTACAGATGCCGTGCAGCAGTTTTGAGTATCCGCGCAGCAAATTTCCATGTAAGTGTGTGTTTCTGTTTATGGGCTGTAAAATTTTGCATACAAAAAAATTGATGCTGTAAAACTTTGCACACAACTGTATGACTTTGCACACGAACCAGCAAACCCTAGAGGGAACATTGGTTACAAGATAAATTAAGTTACATCAACAAAAAAAAGTTTTCATTCATTTGTTTTATATGTTTACATGAAAATTTCATCCGATATTCCCTGTAATGAATAAAAGACAGTAGTGTAGACAGGGACTAATATTTTACAATAGAATGATCAATGAAGGAGCTCATTAATAGAAAAAAAAATAAGCAACATTGATATTCACATGTGTACAACAAAGTGAAAAGTCATGCAAAAACTCAACAAAAGAAATATGTTAGATTAAGTACTGGACCATGTGTATGCAAAACTTACTGTAGGCTACATTTGTTTTTTTATTAACAAAGATATAACAGTCTTATAATACTGATCTACAATGTTTGTTAGAAAGATGGTGAATTAATACCCCCAAAAATTAACGAATTAACAAAATTTATATTTATATTAGTAAATGAATGTTTTTAACAGACATGTCAGTGCAAAGATAAAATCTATAAGGTTTAAACCTAGAATTCTTAGTGGGTTTTAGCATTAAAATTTCTAAAACAATTAACAGGACCTACACCACAAACGTAAAATTGTGAGTACAATTTTAAGACAGGATAAAAAAAAAGGGAAATGGTCTATGAAAATTATTAAACAAGAAAGTTAACTTTAAAAAATGATAACTTATATTTAAATAATTTCAGTTACTTCCCTTAGATATAAATGATTCATTCTCTTCATTCATAAGTTAGTTGCTGGTATAATTTGGCAATAAGTACAGTTATATCACAAATTTTATACATACAATTAAGTCAACAAAAAATCACAGAATTGAATTTTTTAAAAATATTTGACACACTAACCAAATATAAAAAATTCATATTCCCACATGTTGGCAGAAAACTCTTGTTTAACACACTTTCTTAGGCCTGTTTCTTGCAGGCGTTGCTCTATGTAGCCCAAAACCTTCAGAGCTGCATCATTGGAGACATGGGACAAGATATTCTGCTGTCTGCCAGACAAGAGCGGGGTCAGCATTTCCAAACATGGGATCTGCTCCAAAAGATGGGGGTTGTGAACGGAAAAGTTGGGTAACAAAATATTCTCAAAACATGACTTCAGGAAGTGAATTGAATCTGAAACTCTGTCAGCAAGGCTCTCCAAGGTCCATGCCGAGGCTGAACTCTCCTGCAGTAGAAAACTTATCACTGTACTCAACACAGTAGCGTCTATTTCTCCCTTATTTAAAAGCGTATTCTTAGTACTCTGGGAAAACAGCGCTTTTAAAATCATCAGACATTCCTTGTGGTGTCCTCGAACACCTGACAAATTAAGTCTTTTTTCAAAATTTTTTATAACAGTAGAATTAAGCTTGTCTGTGCAAATATTCCACAACAGATCATTGTTACTTTGATCTCTGAATATTCTGCTCAGCACAGTTTTTGGTAAAGTGTTTCCCTTTGCCTCATGATTTGTACCTGATCCCCACGTTGGTACAGCATAAATGGGCGGCAGCATGCTAAAGTCAACCACTGATAAACTCAAGGCTGGTATAAATCTAATATTGATTTCAGAGAGGCCTAACCCTAAACCTTGCATCAGACGTGTATCGATAGTCAGGTTTAACTTTTTGGTGGGGGACAGCTGGAAACTAAATGGGAGTCTGTCCATTTTGCTTTTGCTTTCTCGATATAATTTAAGAATAGCTTTCTTTAACAAAGCCTCAACATATTCCTCAACCTCTTGAGGCACCAGATAAAATCCAAATAAGTTTTGTACACAAGCCTTCTTAATATACTTAAAATTTTGACAAGCTGGGCTACTACCATCTTTCACACCAAGAATCACATGACCAGCTGGAATATCTGAACAAAAATTGTTGTGGAGTATTGTCATCTCTGTTAACTTAGAGATGTCAATAAGAAACAATGCATCAAATCTGTTGGCCGCACCGACCAGCGTTCCCTCTGTTGCACTCCCTATACTTTCAAATCTACAGAAGGTTAGCAAATCTGATAAATCAGCGTTGATGGCTTTAAGTTGATGGTCAAGAATATATAGAGAATAGCTGACCACTGAAGTAGCAACATTCCACTGAAGAGGCCTGATAGGACAATTCTGGTATAGGAACTGAAGAATTAGTGAAAGTTTTTGGTCGCCTTGCGACACTTGGCCAATATTTGCCCCATCAAAGTTCACTTCAGGAAACACCCAACCCAAACATGCCTTAAATTTCTCAAATTGTATCCAGCTCTTTGCATAAGAATCATCGTTTTTTGTGACAGGCATCTGAGATGGTAAGGATTGAGGACTCTGTCTGGGGGGATTTATAACTCGACGAGGAAGTCTAGGAGATGTTAGGGAGCTGATTGAGTTTGAAGATGGTGAGGAGGGCAGCCTTGTACGACCTTCTGGACTGTTGACGGAATGAGACATTGCTGTACCCAAATGAACATCTACTTCTTTAAGAAAAAATCCAATGGTACATTCCAAGACATAATCTATATGCTGGATATGCTGTATTAGATTTTCTTTATTATTATCAAACTTAGGCACATTTATCATAAGAGGTTTCTCTACTTTAAGCTGCTTTGAGCTTTTATTATTAAGAGAAACAATATCATCACCAGTATCAGTGCTTTTATCATATTCTTTTGAAATTTCTTTTTCAGGGCTTTGAATTTCCTGCTTAGGTACCCGAGCATCTTGTTTATTGTCTCTTTTGCTGGAACACAGTGCAAACAGCAATAAGAATATCAGAGTTGACAATGATAACCCTGTCAATAACAGTGTGTAAAAGGCAGATAGGCTTTGAGTTCCTTCAAAATGAATTACTGAGCTGCATCCATCACTGCTGCCAGAGCTGGAGACTAAAGTTTCATCCTGTGGTGTGTTTTTGAAGAAATTAAGTATGCTGTTGAGAAATCCATGGCTAGAAGAGGGTTCCTCTTTATGTTCATCCGAAACAGGCTGGTGACCTAGATTTTCTGGAGGTAAGACTTCTTCACATGATAAAACAGACAGAATAATAGAAATGTTGTAGTACAAAGGTGAGGTCAAAAGCCATTCCATCTTTGTTTGAGAGAGCAGAAAGTAAAGCCACTCAATGCTGGCCATGTTTCATACCTAGGGAATAAAATAAAATTAAAAAAAGAATGAAGAATCAACTCTAAAATATTTATACATATTAACACACAAAAAACTAATAAATAGAGACACTGGTAGAAGTTGAAAATACTGAATTAAAATGTATGTATATCTCTGCAGTGACAACAAAGCAATAAACATAAGTTAAATGATATACCAGTGTGTGAGAGACAAGGGGATGGAAAAAAAGTTCTTCTTCCTACTTCCTTTTTTTTCATTCCTCTTACAAATGATTTTAATTTTTTGAGAGAATATTTTAGGACAGTCTGTACATTATGCTTATGTATTGATTTTATATTCAAATAATAAATTTGATATCATCAGCTTTGGATTTATTGAATGTTGAAAACATGACAACCACATAATGTTCACCTACTCTGTAAATTTTAAATTATAGCACTACTTAGATATGTAGCCAGTAGATAAATCCAATGGGATCTATTTCAGGGATGTCTAACCATTTTTAGGGGGAAAGGGTAATAACCGGAGACTTACTCTTAGCAGAAGGAGAATTGACTAAGTTATTAGGTTTAAAACAATACAGTGCTTTGACTTTGAGTGGATAGGGGAGGCTAAGGGTGGGCAGAGGGTATAAATCTCCCCGAGTGCCAGACTAGTGTGGAGGAGGTGGGGGTGGGGGGGGGGGGCAAAGGGGGTTTTGAGGGTATTTTATTGATTAAAAAAATGGGTTTCAGAGTTGGGAGATTTTAAATATTAATCTTGTCCAGGGAACCAAACACTAGCTCTGCTTCTGTTTATTAAGAGTCACATAGCAAGACTCGCACATCATAACCCATTTATTTAAAACCTATGAACTCTATTTTCGGATAGCGAAGCAGACTTGCAAAGGGAATCACTCAGACTTTTCTGCCAATTTGTGTCGCTCTGCCACTAGCTATGCAATTCGGTACAGGTATTTAAGTAATTCATTTATGATGACATTGATTTTGATAATTATTGATTTGGTTTCAATAACTATTTTTCTCTTCATTTCCTAAGATATAAAATTAATAATTAAACTGACAATGTTTTGACTTCACATTTATTTTCCTAAAATATAGGCCTACAATTAGTAGGACCATGGCCTACATAACTAAAATTATATTTGATTAAATTATATATAATTATTAAATATAATATTAGGGGTATTAAATGATTGATTAGGCTCCTAAAATAAAGAGTTTAGTCTTAGTTTATAATACTAAACTAAGTATTAAGGTTTTAATTTTTTTAGAATTTATAATAATATACTAGACCCTAACTTTTAAAATAATGTAGTATGAATTATGATAATGGTAGTATGATAATGATAAAAGAATACTTATTAAATATTACTTACTTTTACTTTTAATAATACTAATACTATTAGTACTATACTAGTAATAGTTGGCCTACTAGCCACGCCACTAGTCTTCGCCGGCTTCGTTCGGTTTTATTTAGAATCTGGACTCCTAAAATAAACTTATTAGTACTAGTAGGTTTTAAATTAAAATTTCATCAGTATTTCATATTTGTCTACCTGCGTGTACCATACATTGATAGCGATTTTAGTCAAGAATGTTTGTTCATCCTAGAATTCCCAGTTCTTTACTGCTTTAGTAGAGGTGACTGCCCGAACGCTAAAAATAATATTTACACCAGACAACCAGGAAATAGTTGTAATTTTATTACAGTAATCCCCCCTTATTCTTTATTCTCTCTCTTTCATTTGTTAAATGAAGGCTACCGGTACCGTGTTGTGCAATCGGGTAATGAATATAGTTAAGACATGGCACAATTATTTACTAAAATTAATATCAATTATTTACACTCATGTAAGTTCAAGATGTTTTCTCCAGGCTGTAATAACCCTAGCTACGCCACTGTTCGGTAGAGAAACGACAAACGAGTGGAGAAAAGCAGTGCCGTCTTAAAAGGTAAGGGCACACTGGACACTTGCCCAGGGCGGCCAGGGACTCACGCTTCTAGCGGGGCCTCATGCTCAAGGGGGCTTCTCCGCCTCTAGGAGGCATCACTTCTCTATGGAATATCACGCCAGTAAGGGGCCTCACGCTTCTAGGGGCATTATGCTGATAATATACTAATACACTAATAGTTTTTTTGTTTGTTTGTTTTTTTTTTTTTTTTGCTTTTTTTTAAAAATTTAACGATCAACTTTTTAATTGATTTTTTTAAAAAAAATATATACTCATTTTTGGGTGAATTAGTGTAAACAAATAAATAGTTTAAAATAAAATTATGAAACAACATTACTGTTTAGATACAACTAAATATAAAGAGAAATTGTGGAGCTGGGGCTAAAGGCAAACACTCTGGGGGCTCCAATACCAGAATATATTTATGGTTATGTATGGCAGTGGTAACGAAGTCAGCGCTGGCCCTACGTATAAAAAATTATTCATTCTGGTGCTGATGGATTCCCTGCTAACCCCTAATGTATCTTCAACAACTTGTATTCCTCTGGACCCATGAACAGCCACATTGATGAGAATATCTGGAGTGCGTTCGACTATATTTACTTTGAATCACATTAATGGATTAGCGAGTCTTGTATCTGCAAACTGCATTTTTTAAATATAATTTGGATTCGTTTACCTTGATCAAAGGTAGTCTGTTGGGCAAGAGAAAGTGCCGTTTCGTTGACAATATAGTATTTTTTTCAATTAATTGTTCCTGAATGCTGACCAGTATTCTTTCACGCTGCTCTCCACGACGGGGGAGGGGGGCCTTCCACCCCCCCCCCCCCCCCCCAAAATGTGTACAACAATAACGCGAATATATAATATACCTTTAAAAACGACTAATTAATTGTCCCTTTTTATAATTATTTTATTAATAAATTAAAGAAATAGTAGAACCAGTGAAATATAGATACTAATTACAATTTATTAGTTATTATTTGCCATCATTGTTTGTTTCAGGCATCCGGTGGAAAAAGGTAGGGGGGGGGGCGACCAAGTGGGCTCTCTGAACTTCCCATCTACTAAAGTTACGTGACAAAATACGCATTTCAAGTAACGCACTTTATAAGATTCCGATTTGATGCCCCCCCCCCCGGCTCGCAACCGCACACTGTTATCACGCGCCTGAGCATATAAATATTCTAATGTCCCACCCTCTTCTATACAGCAGATTTAGCAGATTTATAGCACCATATTAAAATTGTGACCATTTCCGTACAACAAAAAAAAGTCTTATGCACCAAACGCACTTGCGGTATTTTTAAGAATCTCATTTAGTGCGATCATCGGGAATTATGTTTAGTGTCTTCAGTGCCATCTGGTTGCGCTAGTGACATTGTTACGCAGAGAATTATGTACAGGGTATTCTGATACCGGTATTTTTCAAAATACTTAAAGACTTACATTATGTGGAAAAGTGTGACCTATACTCTGAATAATACCGACTTACCGAATTAAACTAACTTTCCATCACTATAAAGCAGGCAAGCACAACATACTGCCCGACAGCACCCACCTTGCTGCCCGCGAAGTAACAAAATATTCTTTATTGTTATTATTTTTTTAAATAGCTTTGCCCATTGTCCTATTTATTTTGGCCCGCACAAGTCATGTCCTATTTCGTTTTGGCCCGCACAAGTTTTTCATAAAGTATTACGACCCGCCTTATATTTTGAGTTGTGCAGGCCTGCTATAAACGACTATATTTTGAACTTCCATTTCTTATATAAGTTAAAAGTTTAAAAGAGGGCAGGATGGTAATTTTATAATATCACCATGCTTTAAAAATATAGTTATTATCATAATTTTTGCCATTTATAAACAATTTATAAAAGTTGTTAGTAAGACCTTTTCTATAAAACAGTATTTTTTAAATCTTTTTATCTGGTAAAACTTGGAAATATTCTGGAATATTAGTATACTCTCTTTACGTGGCGACCACTTTTTTTTTTAAAAATAGAAATACATGTATTTAAAATTCATTTATTTGTAGATTTTAACGAAATAAATTGTTTAAATGAATATATATTTAAAAAAAACAATTACATTTATTAAAAAATGTAAACTATAGTATTTTGTATAAACACAATATGCCTTGAGAGACTGCATCATTCAGAACCATGTTCAGGTTATGTGCAACACATTGAATGAGGAAAGCGTTCGACATGTTTTTCCAAATTACGTATTTGAACTCATTGTGGCAGCACCGTCATAGTCTTGGACTAGACACCACTCATTGTGGCAGCACCGTCATAGCCTCGGCCTAGAAACCACTCACTGTGGCAGCACCGTCATAGCCTCGGCCTAGAAACCACTCATTGTGGCAGCACCGTCATAGCCTCGGCCTAGAAACCACTCATTGTGGCAGCACTGTCATAGTCCTGGACTAGACACCACTCATTGTGGCAGCACCGTCATAGCCTCGGCCTAGAAACCACTCATTGTGGCAGCACTGTCATAGTCCTGAACTAGACACCATCATTGTGGCAGCACTGTCATAGTCCTGGACTAGACACCACTCATTGTGGCAGCACCGTCATAGCCTCGGCCTAGACACCACTCATTGTGGCAGCACTGTCATAGTCCTGGACTAGACACCACTCATTGTGGCAGCGTGGCAGCACTGTCATAGCATCTTTCATTAACATCTGACCGTTGATCCGACGCCAAGTTGCTTATAGGCTCCTGCATGTGATGGTTGAGGCTATTACTCAGGGTTTAAGTTATTGCTGCCTCTTCCCCAATGAATACATACAGGTAAAATTATTTAAACACTTAGATTATCGTCAGGGTATTATTTTGATTGGTTAAGTTTCAAATGCTATTCTATATTTAGAAAGAGCCAAACTCTCAAATTGAAATGAAAGTTCTCATCATAAAGCCGCGAAAATCCTCAAATTATTAATTTAAACACTTTTCTTATGTTCAAACTATATTTCTTACATAAGTACAATTCAAGATTTCCATTGCATGCCTTCTGCCACGACATTCCCTTTTCATCTAGCCTCGCAGTGACTAATGATTGCACTCCACCCCTCCCAGCTGTAAATTATAGATGCACATCACGAGACAATCACTGAGTTGAAGAGCAAGGGAAGAATAATCTATAGAACCATGAACAGACAAGAAGTGTCCGATCTTCATACAAATTTAACAATATGCGGAGAGCCTAGACCTTTAAAAAAAATCAATTCATGAATTAGAATCAGAGCCGTCAAGTGGCGTTTGGGGGCCGCCGGCCACTTGGTGGATTGTGTTCATGCATTCAATGTTTTGTTTCAAGTCGATCGGCTAACATAGAAAACAAAAATTATATTTGGGGTGTTAGCTAAAAAAGTTCCCCGGCCCTTGATTTCATCTTTGACAACCCTAGACGCTGTTGTTCATATACGGCAGACCTGCACAACTCCAAATGTAAGGCGGGCAGTAAGAGTTTATGAAAAACTTGTTCGGACCGAAAGAAAATAGGACCGGGGGGGGGGGGGGGCTATTAAGAAAAAAAAAATAAAAATGAATATTTAATTACTTAACGGGCCACAAAGGGGGGGTGGGGGGGGGTGGGGGGGGGGTCCGCATGCGGCCACAGGCCAAATTTTGTGGAGGCCTGTTGTAAGGATCAAGAGAGTATAGCACTGATCGTCCAGACGTACCGGGAATCCCATGTAAAGGGGCTGTTTACTTTGAGCGTAGCTTATAGACCCTTTTCATATTCTTTTCATTGATTGAGAGTAACATTGTCTCGCATTGATGTGATATCCCCGGGCTTTAAGTGTATCATTAGCTAAAAAGCTGCACGGAATGTGAGGTGACGCCATTCCACTGTGATAGGCTTTCTGCGCCAGAGCCATTGATGTTTATTTTAAGTTCGATTAACGTTCAAACTGCCTGTCAGGACTTGAGAAAGCTGTTACAGAGGTAAACAAAGCGAGTCGCGGTCATAGTCACACATTGTAAGAGCAGATGGTAAATCGTTCAATCGTAGGTACTGGCTGATGACGTAAAATGGAGAACAGCGAGGAGTCAATAAACACCCCACACACAACCTGCTCGATTAGTTAAGGCGCCAAACACATTATTTGCATAGTCAAAATCGTGGCATGTACTCCTTTACACTAGCAACGGGGTCTTGAGCTCACCTCCCCATTGGTGGTAAACGAAAGAGTCGGCTATCTCAAGCAACCAACTAGCACTGTTACCCGTCATATATGACGGTTATTTACATAGTTTAAATGGGTCAGATTTCAAACAATTAAAAATCTTAACTCTCTTGGCACTTAGAGGCACGTGTAGCTATTGCCCGCCGAAAAGAAAACTCTTTAAATCAATTTAATATTTTGGATTTCAGCCAATCATCAAACACATCATTATCTCCGAACAAAAAAAAATGTGTTAAGAATGATAAAGATGTCTGCACTGTACAGTCTGAAAACTGAAACTATGTTCCTAAGATTGTTTCTATTGTGTTAGTTCCAGACACATGAATGGAACAATTGATTTCTGAAGTGACGATTCATGTTCTGAAATGCATTTTCCATGATTTTAGATTACAGGAATTTTTAAATCATAAATGGCGGACACTTTACAGCTGTAGAAATCATGAACACCAGACAAATTTGTACAGAAAATATTT